TGACGGGCGAAGTGTCACTGCCCGTCGGATCTTTGCTATTTGTAGCTCTGAGCGGTACTGCAACTCCTTTGGACAAGCGTGTCGCTTACCACCAAGCGGACGACTTGTTCGTTCCATCACTTGATATCATAAAAAAAGTACATAAACAGACATACGTGAGGCGCACTATAAGTTTCGGGAATGAGTAAGAAAAAAAGTACTATAAATGGTCAGAAATGAATTTATTGTTTCTCAAAATATTCTCCGTTAGCATTAATGCACTTTTTCATACGAATCAACCAATTTTGAAAACATTTATGCCACTCCTCTGTGACAATCTCTGAAACGTGTTTTCATACTTTTCGACAGCCTCTTCAGGTGATGAAAATCGTTGACCGCGTAACTGGCTCTTAATTTTTGGAAATAAATAAAAATCGCAAGGTGCCAGGTCAGGAATGTACGCGGGATGGCTCATAAGGTCAACATTGCTCACCTTCAAAAATTCATTTGTTGTGTGAGAACCGGTATTATCGTGGTGCAAGATGATGCGGCGTTTACGGTTATTTTTACGGAGTTTGTCAATAACTTCCGGCAAACAAACGATCGTGTACCAAACACTATTCACGGTACAACGATTCTCCAAAGCAACAGTAGCCGCGTGTCCAGTTTTATTAAAAAAAGAAGCAGTCATCCGCTTAGAGGTAGTTTGCACGCGCGCCACTTTGGTTGGTTTCGGCTCGTCTCGAAAGACCCATATGCTCGATTGCTGCTTTGTTTTGGGATCGTAACTATAAATCCATGTTTCGTCACCTGTCACTATGTCCCACACCAAATTTGACACTCCTTCGTTGAATTTGGTGAGCATGGCATTGCACCAAGTGACGCAATCCGTTTTTTGTGTCTCAGTCAGATTGTGTGGGATCCACCGAGAGCACAGGCTTTTCACACCCAAATGTTTGTGTAGTATTGATTGTATTTGACTCATACCTATGCTTAAAGATGCCCGAATCTCATGGTATGTCACATGCCTGTCTGTTTTGATCATACGGCGCACAGCATCGATGTCTTTGTTATTCACAGCAGTGGACGGGCAACCATCACGAAATTCGTCACTGAGATTCACACGACCGCGTTTGAATTCTGCAAACCAGCTATAAATAGTCGTCTTGTATGGTGCTTCATCGCCAAAAACAGTTTGAAGCCGAGTGAAGCTCCGCTGAGCTAATCAATTACACTTAAAGTCGTACAAAATCATACTACGAAAATGTTCACGAGTAAAATCCATGGTGATGTAGACAACCAATTTCTAAAATGATGCCACAATGTAAAAACAAGTGACAGTCAGATGAAAAAAACTGTATTCTACAGAGAAAGAGTTCCATTTTCAAATGTTGTATTTACTTTTTAAATATTGTTTATGTAAGTGGCCAGTTCCGGAAACTTATAGTGCGCCCTATGTACAGGGGTTATGATTTACATACGTGTTCTTAAATCTTACGTAATAATCGCTAGCGGAACTTTCTCAATTTAATTGGTGCAGATAGTTAAATAAGTAAGATTAAGTTTTATTAAATTAAGTCGACCAGCAATTATGCTGTGCCAGTGAAATTATAATTGAATTTGAAACTCGCAGTTCGAGTGGAACGTGACAAAATTAATAATGGGACTGGTTTTTATCTTAAAAATGCGTGCAATTATTGAAGTATGGACTTAAGTCCATTTTAAGACGGTTACGAGATTTATTACTATGCAGTAGTGGCAGCTTTAACTTAAATAATAGACACAACCAGGCAGCCAAAATATTACATCAAGAGCTCACTGTGAAGTATGAACCGCACATGTAATGACTGGAGTAATGAATACGTTTATGATAAATTTACGATAAACTTTTATGGGAAAATAATTTTTGGTATTGAAACATAAACATTCAATAATTTATTGTTAACCTTCTAGGACCCCACGAATTTCAACATTTACATAGTAATATGTAAAGATCCAGAAAAAAATATTCCACATTACCATACAAACACTCAGTGTACATTATACAATTGAACGTAATAACGTAAATATCGCATTCAAATTTAGCGCTAGGTATATATTCTTCGTGACCATATAATGATATTAGTACTACAAAAACCGACCTCAAAAGTTCGTGGAATTACATTTATTTGCCAAGTTTTATTGAAATCGGTTACCGGAGAACGCGTGAAACCGGATTCATTCTCTAGTTTGCCACCTTTAGAGGTGGAATATTTTCTTCAAATTTAAATGGGACCAATACTGAGATACCCTCTTGCCAACAAAAAAGGTCACCAAACTCCGTTCACAGAGTTATCGCGTAACATACATAAAGAAAAAAATACAGTCGAATTGAAAACCTCCTTTTTTGAAGTCGGTTAAAAATACGTTTTTCATACAAAACTGTCGGCGTAGTTGCTTAGGTCGGTCATTCTGGGTCTAGTGTTCACTACCTAATTTCCGTGGCAAATTTTATTATTTAAGTATTCGATTATTTCACCGTGCAATATTATTTAATAATACACGATAATTATACTTGAATATTTAAATAACAAAACTGCCAAGGAAAGGTGTGAAGCTTGTAATTATATTTAATACACATAGGAAATGAAACTATTTTTCCGGATTTAAATCGCGTATATTTGTTTTTCAAACGAACCAACCACGTTTCGTGCCTTAAACGTCATAACAATCGCGAAAATCTAAGAACTCGATATATATTTAATACTTTTTAATGTACATTGGGAATTTAGCGCTGTTTTCCATTGTAGCTAGCCTGAGTCTTTGGAGGTTAAGTTTAGAATTTACTATATATTGTCTGCTTAAAGGCACAACCACATAAACGACATTTTCCGCAAAAAATCTCCAGATTATGTACCTGTTGTAAGAAAATCACTATTTTTTAGATGGAACTCTTAATAAGTTTATATCGTTTTTGTTATTGAGCTTCACGTGCAGAAAGATAGTGATTTTCTTACCATAGCTAGCTATATATATATAAATTAAAGACTTTTTGTTTAAAATGTTACTTATGTGGTTTTACCTTTAAACAGACGATATATTTTGTGACAATACAAAAAAATTTAGGGTAAGCATCTTGATTATCTACATATCATATATACATATCATAATTGCATTACTGCAAGTCACATGCATTAATTACTGAATGAACTACACATTCGACTCTCCGCTTATTTATAATTCAGCCTCTAATAAGTCATAATTGTCATTGAGTACTAATTGCAGTCGATATAGGTACCAATCGATTAGCTTGATTAATGGTTAACATTCACGTCTTTATATTCTAGGAAGCTTTATAAAAGAACCATAGAGTAGAATCTTCAGGTATATCGTAATAAGGAATATCGTAAGTTTTTTTAATAATTAAATTAATGATTTTTTTTTATTTTATTGAATGTAATGCTTTTGCTGCCATAATTCTCATTATTGTCAATTGCTCCATAGCCGAACGGGGGTTCGAGTCCCGGGCCAGGAAAAATATTTGTATGGCCTACATTTATTCTCTCGTGACTTTTGGTGTAATTTGTTGTTGTCTATGTGTGTGTATCCATGGCACCCGCGATATAGGGTTTCCCTAGTGCGTGGCTGCGCGTACGTTATATGATACCAACCTTTATTATATATTTTTGTGAAAATACAATAGAACAATTCAATAAAAATTTAAAATACAGTGAATAGCGACATTTCTCGACAGGGCTGGTAGCTGTAAAGGTCTAACTGGGTGATAACTCTGGGTGTCTAACTGGGTGTTCGATCTTTGTATTAATAATTAATACAATAGAATTTTGTCATTGTCTCAACACGGGTCTCCTCTCAGGCGAGGATTTAGGCCATAGTCCGCCACCTGACGCAATGCGGGTTGGGGCCTTCCACGTTTTCCGAGTGTTGTAAACTTTTTTCGACGTACAGGTTTCGTCACGATGTTTTCTTTCACCGGAAGGCTCATGATTAATTTCAAATTAAATAAATAGAACTCACGGCCTATACTTGAGAGGTGGTAGGTTATGGTTATACAAGATGAGAATTATTAAATTACAGTCTTTTCTACTACAACCAATACCTATACAACAGGAAGGAAATCAGAGCACCGACTATTCATTAACATTGTAATGACTTTTCATAATTAGCATTTTATACAGCTGTCGTTGTCTTAAATGTCAGTTTTTTTACCGACTTCAAAGAAAACGAGGAGGTTTTCAATTCTAGTGTATTTTTTTATTTATATTACGCGATAACTCCGTTACACTCCGTAACAAATTTGTAAATCGAAATTTTTTTAAGTACTGTGTACTGAGATTATTATCTTACTTATTAATAATGACGACCGACTGCTATTTTGACCAGATTAATGTAAATCTTTAAATATAGGTAAATATTTATATATATTTGAAGCCTTTTATAAAATTCATTTAGATTATAGAAAACATTGTCAATTAACCATTTCTTTAAATGTGCCTTGAATTGCAGCGTGTTGTTTTCCAATTTTAAATATCTATAGATAATTTTGCTGCTTGAATATTAACGAAGTGTTCGTTGTAGGCGTTTTACAATGTACCTATTTGTACCGTGTACAATCATTTAATGATATTTATTTTATTGAATATCATGATCTATTTACTGTAATGTGAGCATACGTCCCGCTTAACGTCATGTCCCGCTGTCCCTAAAAAACAGGACAAGGTGTCATTGATTTTCTTTAATGGCGCTAAAGCGAGAAATATGAAAGCCAGCCCACCAGACTACACAAATTTAGTCTTTTTTTATTTTTAATCCTTAAACATGTTTAGTTCTTTTTTATTTATTTTTTAATCATTAAACGTTTTGTAACAATCATAATGTTTTAAAATAATGATAAATTTATGGGCGTCCCGCTCTTAAAAACTTAAAAATTGCCTATAACTTTTCTGATATACATTTTATAGGCATGCATACCATTCGTAGGAATCATAAGTTTTCCGGTCAAGTTCCTAAGCTGTCTAAAGTGTGTTACGCAGACGATCCTCAACTCTATGCACAAGTACCAGCCCCGGTTCCACCTCGTGCGAGCCAACGACATCCTGAAGCTGCCATACTCGACCTTCAGGACTTATGTCTTCAAGGAGACCGAGTTTATTGCTGTCACTGCTTATCAAAATGAGAAGGTGAGTTTTTTAATACAGTTCTTGTTATGGAGCATCACTAGCGACCGTTACTCTTTGGTTCGCAATGCCGGACAGCTCTTTTCCTCCAGTGATTTCAAACTTGTAAGACATGTGTAACGGCCGCGATTTAATTTCAATGTTAACAGAAGAACTCCAATAAAAGTCAAATTTTAGAGTTAAATTTTTATTCATAATCATCCATTTTCGTGAGAAACAGTTTTATTTTAATCGAAATTACTTAGAAAATCAAAACTTAATCAACTTAAATTTCGCAATTATCCTTTGTCGATTTCAATCATAATATTGAAATACGTGCTTCACTTATACATATATCGTTTTTAGTTGTATAATATTTTATATTTACGGCCTGGTAACGAACCAAAAACAAAGATCTTGAACGAAATGTAAATAAAAAATCTATTCCGTATTTAAATTGAAACAAGAGAAAATCACCCAACACGGTTTCTTTTCGCGTTTATCAAAGTTACTATATATAATATTCCAATTTCAAAAAAGATACGACTTACGCCCACTGTAGATTATGTGATTAATTTTACTTGAAGATAAATTACCTGGGTGCAGTGAGCCTCATACAACGGCAACAGTCTTTTGTTTTGTGTCGTACGTCATTATTACATTCGAAACAGTCTAGAAAAGACGAAGCCTTAATAGTGTCAATCCTTTTAACCGTCGTCAAAAAACGAAAGAGGTTCTCAATTTCGACTGTATTTCTTGTTGTTTTTTCTGCGATTATTTCAACATTCATGAACCTATTTCGACATCTTTTTTGTTGAAAAGGGGGACATCTCAGCAGCCTCATTCAAATTTGAAGAAAAAATTCCAACTCTAAGAGTTGCCTATTAAGGGACGAATCCGATTTATTGGATTTCACTCATTTTTAAAGTTATTCGTGTTGACTGTACCAAACAAAGGTACCTACCTAAAATAAGCTTGTAAGTACCTGGGCATCAGGTGGGAATAATATATAATTATTTATTTTCGATCCCGTGCATACGGGGATCCGATGGGAATAGAAAATAATATAAAATATAACGGATCCACCAGAGGATCGTTTTATGGGATCAAATGATAATAACCCAGCACATAAATAGCCCAGCACATCCTAAAGCTAAATCGTGTCTCTAACGAGCAACTTTGTTTATATACCATTTTTAAAATTAAATTTATAAAAAATATTACCAAAATCGTTAGAAACACCGTATTATGTCTCTAGGACGTATTAATATCTGTTTTTATGTAACCAAGTGGAAAAAAATAAACATCTACAAAAGTGACCCCCTGCAGACCTTGACCTCAATTTAGAAGTTAACTTTTGTGTTTGACGAGTTTAATTTGTTACAGATTACTCAACTGAAAATCGATAATAATCCGTTCGCAAAAGGCTTCCGGGACACGGGGGCCGGCAAACGGGAAAAGAAGTAAGTACCAATTACACGTTCTGAACACTTTAGTGGTACATATAGTCACGTGCGTAATACTTAAAAACGTAGCGAATATTATGGTATATTTTAAGTTTTATTTTAATAAATTCTATTGAAACATATAGGTAAATACAAAAAGTCTAATTAAATAAACGGACCTGGAGTTTAATATACAAAAACATAAGTTAAAAAAGTGTTTTTCAATAATAATTAACACTACCTTTTAAGTATATATATCACTTAGGAAATAATTTTTTTTTTTAATACAGTTGCTCTAATCCTGGTATTTTTCGCACTAATGCTTTTTACTTTTCCATTTTTTTTAATTTACTGTTGTTTCAAGTCCTAAAGATAGAAAACTAAAGAGGTTGTATTTATATTATTTATTTAATACTTTTGTGCTTTGTGACGTAAGTCATTCGTCATTAAAACTTATATTTACTTACAAACATCTTATTTGTTTAATTTGCATAGGTGTTTTATAAAACAACGGGTTACATTTAAAAATACCAAAATATTTTCATAAAGATGGCTGATTGAGTATTAACAATGACCGGAGGCGAGTAATACGCGAGACCGCTGCGCGCCGCGCCACTAAAATTTACTGTTTTATTTTACTTTTAATGTAGTTTTTTCGCAAATGTATTAGAAAACATCGTTTGATACACGTGCGGATTTGTCATTTTCACTTGTCTCAAGACTCGTGAATAATGACTAACTTTCCGCACTTGTATCAAAAATAACTATTTCGAATCTAAGTCGTTTGTGTTTGTTTTTTCCAAACAAACCAAACGGTTCGTGCCCTTTAGAGCGTTTGCACAGTACGTCCGATTCATATCAGGCACTGTACTCTCGTTCTTCGTCATCCGTCCGAAACAATTACAGTTAAATAACAATTCTCGATCAAGTCAAAAGATGCATGATGCGTATGAAGCTTCAGACGACATTGTCTTGTAATATGGTCGAGTATTACTTATTTGACAGTTGTTTCGGAGGAATGTCGGACGGAGAACGAGAGTCAGTTCCGAATCCAAGAAATCACGGTCCAAAATGTCACAGGGATCATTTTATCGGTAGGTGTACAAGCGACATCCAACGTGGGAACGAATACGAATTGGAAATAATAAATGGTGACTGATCAGTCAGCGAGTGACTGATCACTCAGCAAATAACTAATTTTAAAAGTCAAGAGACCTGTGCCAATCAGTGAAACGTATTTGTTTGATAATCATTTTATAATGCCCCACTGCATCACGATAAGCAACACAAGGGCCTCATAAGAAGGCTCAAGTCACTCAAAGAGCAATGGAAAGGGCTATGCTCGGAGTTTCGTTGCGAGATCGAATGAATAATGAGGATATCCGCAAAGGAACCAGAGTAACCGAATAGCCCAAATAATTGCAAAACTTAAGTGGCAATGGGCAGGGCACACCAGATGGCCGATGGGAACGAAGAGATCTCGAGTGGCGACCACCCACAAGGTGGACTGATGATGTGGTGGTCGTTGTGGCATTCTTTGGGGGCGGCCTATGTTCAGCAGTGGACGTCTTTTGGCTGAAATGATGATGATGATCATGATAAGAAAATAGGAATAATTATTAGTAATTTGTAGTGATATTTATGTTTGTAATTAATAATTTGTAGTGCTCTCCTGATTTTACGGCGCCCTTACAGGGTGTCACATGTGTGACTACTGTATTAAATTTTTATAACACCTTTGTGAAACCATGGCAGGCAATAAAGATATGAATGTACCCATGCATATGCCTGCATAACAACACTAGTGACCACTAAACCTTTAAAGGGCCCGAAACGTTGGTTTGTTTGAAAAAACATACACGCTATTTACTGAAAAAATTGTTTCATTCCCTATGTGTAACAATCGTAAAAACCTTGCAACTCGATATTAACCATTGGGTTAAATTCATAAATTTCGTAACCTCCATTAATATAGTATGCTGAGTAGGCACAAAAAACAGTTGCCCGAAATAATTGTATGACAATCTATGATTATACCTTTATTTTATATAACTAAAATTAATTGCCCGATATTGCGGTTGAAGAGTAAAAAAGTGATTTCGTCCAGAAACGGTATTACGAGGTTTTCAAATTTAGCCGACGTTATACTTCTTTCTTTTTAGCATTAGACAGAAGGAAATTTTGGGCGTTTTCATTAGGACATTTTGTAAACGAAGCAATTTTATAAACACCGCGAAACAAAATTCTCAAACTAATTTAGTACTTACACAAAAGATATTTTTAAAAGATTACTTAATACGTTTTTTATACTTAATCTATTTCGAAGACTTACAATATAAAAAAAAATTAATGGAATCCGAGGTTCCAAACATTAAACGGAAACTTTATAATAACTTATTATCGTGTCATTTGTAAATGTCATTTGTCATCAATTCTCACGATGTTTTCCTTTACTGTAAATTGTCGTCAAAAAAACAAGATTTACGATCAATCTTTGTTTACAATTTTAGTAATTCCAAAAAAAACGAAGTATATCTATCTACTAAAGTAGTTCTTAGTGGGGTATGCTTCATTTTATAATGAAATGAATCGTTTTCCACAAAGAAATGAAAATGATCAAATTGTTACTTTGGCCCTTATATTTAGGACCCATCGAAATACTATTTGGTGGAAAATCAGGAACTAAATGCCAATTCGCGCCACTTTACCTTTTACAACACTTTCGATAAAGGTGGCTCCACTATCGCCACGCGCACGAAAATATATTTCCTGTGGCTCGGTTTCACAAACAACAATTCATTCTTTATGAAAATTTCAATTGCAAAAAGAACATGATGGTAAACGTTCCCTAACTAATCTTTACAATTGAATAGTACGCATTACAATATTTTCACGTAATCCATTAATAAAGAACATATCGACTAAAGAACTTTTTATTATAATTCGGCACAACACACACGCGTTTTCATAATAAAATTAATTAATACACACGTTTACAAATCAAGACACAATAAATGGGTATTTATACAGCCAGTGCAACCTGACCCTTCTAATTTAAAAAAAAAACGAAATATTATTAAATAAATGACTGTACCATAACTTTAGAGAGAGAGGTATGAAGATTAATGCAGAGAAGACGAAAGTGATGGTTTTTGAAAAAAATGCGAACGTAACGGTATGTAAGATTAAAATACATGATATGAATGTTGATCAAGTGTATCTTGTAGTTTGTGTATCTGGGTAGTGTGTTTACAAGGGATGGAAAGTTTGATGACGACATTGAAAGAAGGGTATGAAAGGGAAACGGAGTAAATAGAGCCGTAAATGGTCTAATGGGGAGCAACATCTTATCCAAAAAAGCACACATGTCCATACGCAATGCTTTGCTGGTTCCCACACTGACGTTTGGTAGTGAGATTTGGGTATGGCAGAAGAAGCATGAAAATAGAATTAATGCAGTGGAGATGAGATCGTTGAGGAAAATTTATGGAATAAAATTTAGTGATAGAGTGAAGAATACAATAATACGTGAAAGATGTGGCTTGAAAGAGGATATAGTGACTAGAATAGAGAAAGGAATGTTGAGGTGGTTTGGGCATGTAGAGCGGATGGATGTAAGAAGAATTACCAAACAGATTTATGATGTGGTTTTAAGAGGACGTCTCAGAAAGACTCACACCAGTTGTGACCAGATCAGTGATGTCCTCAAAAAGGCTGGGATCCGAAGTGACTAATAAAGAAGAATAAAATAAGTCGTATGAAAAGGGTAGTTGATGTATGTGAGGCTCGAGAGATGTGTCAGGATAGAGCAAAGTGGCGTTCCGTGGTCTCTGCCTACCCCTCCTGTGGGACTAGGGCGTGAGCTTATGTACCATAACTTTAACTAACAATAATAACTAAACTATAAAGAAATCCATATATTAAAATACCGTACACGCCCGTTTATTAGAGGAGGCTCGTGTTCGGCGGTGTGACGTTTATGGGTTTGACATAGTTTTAGTAACACTCATTAATCCACAATAATAATAATAAAAATAACAACAATCATGCAAGGATTGAATTACGATGAAACTGAAGCTTTGCTTCATCTGATTGCATGACTCAAGGACCTATTTATTTATTTATTTTTGGAGCTTTGGGTAGAGTAGGATCTCTATATGTATATGTATATATATATATATATATCCGTAACTACGCACACATACGTATACACACACACATACACAAACACACACATAATCTCATACGCACTCATAGTCAAATATCTTTTACGTGGAAAAAAGTTTTTAAATTTAATTTTAATTTAAGTTTGATCTTTTAGGTGTATATAGTTCAATAATGTCAATTGTATTTTTTCACTATTTAAATGTTTTACCTTTATAAACAATTAATCTTAGTAATACCTTAAGATTGTCATGTGTCATTTCCAAGGGTGAGAGCCAGGTGACTTGTAGTACAGGCGTTAAGCCTTTAACAAGCACCAGCTCCGAAAAATAAGTTATTGCATGTATCTTAAATTACTTAGAACTATATGTACCTATTTTTGTGGAGGAATAAACGTTATTATTATTATTGTTGTATTTATTTTAAACTCTCGCCTCTCCCAAGGCCTAAAAGCTTAATTTTGTTATTATTATTATTATTATTAACAACTCTCACGCCCACTACGAGAAATGTCAACACGCAGCTGCCGAACGCTACACACAAAAGATCGTTTTTTTTTAAAAAAAAGCTCTGTACAATTTATTGCTCCATCTCCGTAGGTAATTAATTATATTGATCTTAAACGTCTTTAAACGTTTCCTAAAATTATTTCATTAATTAATTCGCTACATCTATCCGTATTTATGCTCGTGACTATACATTACAGAGGACGTAAAGTTAGTTCTTTTGCGGAGATATAATAACACTACATGGGGCTCCCAATCTTCCCAAAAATTGTTTGGGGTTGCCATATGTACACTGGAAATCTAGAACTTACTTACACACTAGGTACAACATTGAACAAAGTTCATAAT